CGCCCATGTTTTAAACATTTAAAGCTGGTAAACACACTTTTACTTTTACTTTTGGCTACTCTATTGACTAGCCCCGGGTTCTCGCTCTCTCTGTATCTACAGAGAAGAGCAAACCCCCCCCTCTTATCGCGGATTCCCCTTTTACCTGGGAACTTACCCTCCCCCCGCTCTTCTTGCGGATTCCCCCTTTTACCTGGGAACTTATCCCCCGCTCTTGTCTTGGATTCCCCTTTTACCTGGGGACTTACCCCTGCTCTTGTCGTGGATTCCCCTTTTACCTGGGAACTTACCGGTGCACCACCCTGACCGCAGAGAGTTCTGAGTCCTCATTGGGGTTATGGCTGAGTCCCCGTACGGGCCACCACCTGTCGTGACCGCCTCCACCAGCAAGGAAGACACCGAACTCTTCTCTCTGCAGTTTATTCAGGACCTTTGAGTAATCTTCTGACCCCAACCCTGGGGAGAATTCCCCACAGCCTTAAGTACCCGCTGGGTAGCCAACCCTGATACACCACGTGGGAACCACTAATAGGTTCAGTTGCGAGGAAGCAAGCCAATTCTTTGCCTTAGCCATATAAGGAGTTGTTTACCACAGAGAGCACTCGCCATCCGGAAGGCGGAGGGCGGAAGCCGGCGCCATCTTCCAGGTGCAGCCTCTCACAGCTCTCTACATTGAATGGCCAAGCAAAGTTCAGCAGAGATGCAAGCTTGGTGGTCCTCAGGGGAAGACCTGTTTCTTCTTTGTGCAGGTGAAGAGGACACTGCAGGGAGTGGAGTGTCCGCTCATGAGCAGGAAAGGGCTGAGGGCTGGGAAACAGCCCATAGCAAATGCTGCCATATGGTGCAGCACAGGGCTGGGGTTGTAAATCACAGACAAGCAAATCTGAGAGATGAAGGACACCGTATAAAAGAAGACAAAGGCGCTCACCAGGAGGAGGATGTTTATGATGGATCTGGACTGGAGAGAGGCTCTGGTGGAGACACTGGTCCTTGGGATGTGCCGCATTTTCTGCTTGTGTCTGTACAGGACAAAAAGCATGGAGGTGCTGGCCCAGAGCATGAGCCCCAGAAACAGAATATCAGGCCCCGAGAGTATGGCCATGTGCAGCACAGCAGCAGCTGGATTGTGACACATGGAAGAACAGTATCCATAGGACTTTAAGCTCGTCATGTTGTCATGCACTTTGGGTCCAGTCATGTACATAAGAAACATAATGCTCAACAGGAAGGAGACCCCCCAGCTGAGGTAGACGGTGGAGACAATGTGCTTGTGGGCTCTCCCCTTCAGCCTTGCCCAGCTGGAGTCCCCCTGGCTGATGCTGACAGCAAGGAAGAGGCTCAGGGAGCAAGTGCTACCCATCGACACCCCCCTGCTCACTCGGAAAAGATAGAAGACCATTTTGCACCCCACATCATTGAAGAAAATTCTCCAGCCCCAAGCCACCATGGTTTGGGGAACACCCCTACACAGAAGACTTAGGAAGTTGGCTACAATTAAGTGCCTAAGAATCAAGTCTTTGGCTCTCATCCTGTTCCCCATGCAGGAAAGGAATAGATAATGGGAGAGAAGAGACAAATTACCCACAAAACCAACCACAGTCTGGGCTAAGAGGATCACCCCCAAGACACATGGGTATCTCCCATCCTCTCTGTTCCTTCAGTCTTATCCAGAGGCTCTGGTCTGGGAAACTGAGGCTTGCATGGTTCCAAGGGAACTCAACATTCTCCATCCAGCATTCAGACCACTAGAAATAATTTCCTAATGTATCTCATGTATTAGGAAAAATCCAGTTCTATTCATCCTTCGAGAAGAAGAAGACCACATGTTCATGGAAATGGGTGAGCCTGGAGAAATGGCATTAGGGGAAGGTGAGTCAGGTTCTGAGATGAAGACGGCTACATTTCTCCTCTGTAGAATCAGATCTAAGTTTCTAAACAAGAAAGGCCCTGTGGTTCAAGCCTGTAATCCTAGCTACTCAGGGGCTGAGACCTTGGATTCCCAATTCAAGGCCGGCCTACAGAAGGAAAGCCTGTGAGACTCTTCTCTCCAGTTAAGCACCAGCAAATCAGAAGTAGACCTGTGGCTCAAAGTGGTAGAGGCCTAGACTTGAGCAAAAAGGGCTCAAGGAACATGGGCAAGCCCTGAGTTCAAGCTCTCTGACTGACTAAAGAAAGAAACTGGAAACATGCGTGACACGTTCCTGGGGTCACATACACTTATACCTCAATACAGTGGCTGGGGGCGTGGGTCCCAGGTGTCACCCTTTCCTCAACATGGAGTCCACATTTCACAGAAGAAATACCAGGAAGATGAAATGGTCTGTGGTGGGGATGGTGCGGGTGAAGAAGGAGGTGGATGACAGAGAACGAGAGGGGCAATTTTAGGTTCAAATGCCATTCTAGAGTTGCTGCTGTGAACACATCGTCCCCAAGCCTTGAACAATCAGGATTCCTCCTCACTTGTCATAAACAAGGACAGACTCTGTTAAGAAGAAGTGAGGAACCAACCGAGCTTGGGGGTGGGGAGCATAGAACCGCAGTTATTTTCACTGTCCTAGCCCATTCCTATCCTTCCCTGTGGCTTTGTTATGCATCCAGGATCAATCCAGAATCCCTGCTCCTAAGGTGATTCCTTACCCAGAGTGTGGAACCTGGGGTCTCTCCTGCAGGCTGCGCCTTTCCAGTGGCAGTGAACACAAGTGCTGGCCTCTTCTCTCAGGATGTGTGTGGCAGGGCGGGTCGTTTCTGAGATGCACATGGGCACTTCAGAACTGCAGAAGGCTCCTTAGAGAGGGGTCCAGGAGGGCGGCAGCTGAGGTCGTCTCCCACGGGAGTGGTGATTTTCCCTTTACCTGGGGTGGCATGCCATGTTCTCAGTAAACATTTTCTTCTCCCCCATGTGACCATTACCAAAACACTTTTCACTTTCATGTGGGTGCTTCTCCAGGGGACAGGGGAGTGGTGCAGTCACTTACCTCTCCTGGATCCCAGTAGGCCGGCAGGAGACACTAAGGCCTGAAGAGAGATGACGCTAAACAACCTCAGCGGTGTGTAAGCCATGTGTTCCCAAAGTTTCTTATCCAAAGTGTCCCTTCCTATTCTGTTTCCAGTTCTGAGACTTGAACTCAGGGCTTGGGCACTGTTCCTGAGCTGGTTTTGCTCAAGGCCAGCACTCTACCATTGGTGCCACAGCACCATTTCTGGCTTTTCCTATGTGTGCTGCTGAGGAATTGAACCCAGGGCTTCTTGCATGCTAGGCAAGCACTCTACCACTGAGCCACCTTCCCAGCCCTCTTCATCTCAGTCTTCTTTTATTTTTTTTATCATCTTATATGCTGTTAGAAAACAAAAATGGAACCCGGTACTGATGCACTCTCAGGAGCCTAATATTAGAGAATCAAGGTTCAAAGCCAGCCTGGTGAAGAAAGCCCATGAGATTCTTATCTCCAATTCTTATCTCCACTTTGGTGGTAGAGTGCCAGTCTGGAATAAAAGAGCTCAGCAACAGCATCCAGGCCCAGAGTTCAAACCCCTGGACTGGCACAAAAGAAAGAAAGAAAATAGAATGAGACGTTTCTGTACAGGAGCTTCTTTGGCAATAATGGCCATTTTTTCTTAAAATGATTTCATCCCTAGAGAACCGATTTGGAGATTAGAGGTAAGCATTTCATGCATATTCCTGAAAGCAGGATTATCTCTTTTCATGCCTGGTTGTTTCTGAGGAGGTAGCTTCATTCTCTAAATCACTACCCATTTTCATTGTTATCAGTGGTGATTTTGAAGCAGGAATTTGTCAGTGTGCTCAGGAGAGGATCAGCAGTGACTCCTCACCCTTTGTTTCTGGTCTACCTCAGTGCGTGTGACTCCATTCCTCACCTGGACCCTTCTGGTCTGGCTGACAATTCTTCTGCCCTGTTCTTGTCTGTTTCAAGAACATGCATTTTCCTTTCTGTGTCTGACTTCTTGCATTTTCCACAGCGATCTGTAGTTCTAGAGATGTGGCAACAAATGACAAGATTTCCTTCTTGTTCATGGCCTAGTCGTACTTTGTGATGGAAATAGGCTACATCGTCTTTTTTTTGTGAAACATCTTTTTATTAAACAGCCAAGCAGAAATGCAACACAATTTTAAATATTTGTAAAATTAGGTCACAAAAGGGATGCAGACACGTGGGGCTTAGAGCCGCAGGGGACAGGATGTTAGGTCCCTTTGGATTTGCTGTCTGGGAGCGTCTCCAGTTGCATGTGGCAGGTGCCATGTCCTTTGGGAAAAGGTGGTGCTGTCCAGACAGAAAAGCAGAAGCCTGAGCCTCACGCCAGCAGAACATGCAGGATTGGTTTTGTAAGCGATTACTGCAGCATGATTGTGGGGTAGAGCAAAATGACAGGTTGTCATCTTACAGACAGCAGTGTAGTGTCAGGGTTCTGGAGGTGGTGCTCTGAGCCCTGGGTGCTGAGCTTCTTGTAGTGAGTCCTAGGTCAGAAAGGAAGAATCCCAGAGATCGTCGGTGTCCTGGCCTGCCCTGCCCAGCCCTGAGACCTGAGACTGTGGCTGGGCTTGGCACTGTCTTTGGGTGGGAGCCGGGCATAGGGGCCGGTGGTTCGGGGCAGGCTGGGGGAAGGGGACAGCCTGCACAGCCTCCAGGAGGCAGTGGCTGAACCGAGTCTGAACAGATAGAAAAGGATGTTTAGCGGAGAACTGTGCTGAGACTGTAAGCTGTACTTGAACAGGATATCTGCTTGCCACAGTGTTGCACAGGATGGGACTTGGTCTCCCCTCCCTGAGGAGTGTAGAGTGGCACTGTCACTTCAGTGCTCCCCCACCCATCCCCAGCTCCTATCTTTTTCTCTGTGCTGGCCATATGGAAAATCTGTGGGTACTGACAGCAAGCTTGTGCATCTTGGGACCGGGATCACAGGGTGCCAGGGTCCCAGGGTGGGCTGTGATGGGAATGCCCTGCGCCTACAGACACCATCTACGCTGAGGATGAGGTCCTTCTGGCCCTGGCTGAGCAGCTGGGAACCTTTACCGGCCTGGTGGGGAGTCCAGAGTAAATGCACTGCCTGCTGGTGAGTGGCATGCGGGGTCCTCACTCCCATCCCCGGAGCAGAGACAGGAGCCATAGAGCAGGGTTGGTAGGGGGAGGGGTGCTGTCCAAGGGGATGGCCTCAAGGCTGGAGGGCTGAGCAGAGCATCGTGCCACCCGCCCCTCCCCCGCCCCTGCAGCCCCCACTGGAGTCGCTCACCACGGTGGAGGTGACAGTGGTGGGGGATAACACAGTGGTGTCCTTGCGGGCCATCTCCCATGAGAACTTGTCCTCTGACCTCGAAGCCCATTTGGTGCCCCTGGTGAAACTGCTCGCTGGGGGCAGCTGGTTCACTTCCAGCACCTTGGCCTGGGGCCTCTTCTCCGTCTGCTACCTGTTAGTGTCCAGCGCTGTGAAAGCAGAGCTCTACCAGTGAGTCTGGGGCTAACTTGCCACCGCCTGCCCAACTGCCCCTGTCCTGTCCCCTGGGGTCAGCTCACCTGCTGGGCCTCAGTGGCAGTCCCCTCCCCCTCCCATGTGAGTGTGAATGCACAGTAACCCTACTTGCTGCTCCCTTGAGCTGCCCTGGCCGCAGGCCCCCCTCCTACTCTTCCTCCTATCCTGAGTGAAGCCTCCTATGCCCTGGGCAAAAACCATGGCACCCAAGGGTCCATGCCCTCTAATCTCTCCTGGCTGCTTGAGTTCTTCCTGCCCAGCGCCACTCTAGATCCCCAGGTACTTACAAAACCTCTGTTCAGATGACACCCCCATAGTGGGACGGGCCGCAACTTCCAAGCTGGGGGAGTTCGCTAAGGTCCTAGAGCTGGACAACGTCAAGAGTGAGATCATCCCCTTAGTTCTCCAACCTAGCCTCTGATGAGCAGGTGGGTCCCTGCTCCACCCTTCCTCCTCTCCCCTTTCCCCCTCCCTCATTCCGCCACTGGGCCCTCTGCCCTTATGCCCCATGGACACTTAGCACCCCTTCTGCTACCCAGGACACTGTGTGGCTGCCGGGGGTGGAGGTGTGTGTGAACATTGCCCAGCTCCTGCCCCAGGAGGACCTGGAAGCCCTGGGGATGCCCACACTGCACCAGGCGGCCGAGGACAGGTCCTGTCACTTCCACTACATGGTGGCCAACAAGTTCACTAAGGTGCCTGAGGCCTGCAGTGCACAGGCAGGGCCAAGGCTGAAGGGAAGAGGGAAGCGTGTCTGTCCTGCATGGGAGTGGGCAGCCTGACGTCCGTGGGCAGAGAAGCCAGGGCTGGATCTTGGCAGGGTCAGGGGTGCACATTCACACTGGGAAGCTGTCACTTGCCCTGCTTTGTACACGGCAAGGACCTGGAAAGGTGGGAAAGTGAAGCTCTCTGTCCTGGGCTCCAAGCGAGACTCTTGTCCTGCCCAGGAGTAGAAGCTGCAGACAGACAAGGAGCTGAGGGAGAAACAGGGCTGCCCACCAGCACTCCATACCAGTTACACTGGTAAAAGAGCATGAGGCCCTTGGAGGGCTACCCTTGTGTGTGCCCTTAGTGTGGACCCATCGGCTCTGCTGGTGGTCAGGAGCAAGGGGTGGTCAGGAGCAAGTGTAAGGCATCTCTGGCAACCAAGAAAAGGCAGAGTCACTAGGCACACATTTGTCCAGGCGTGTGTTCATACTGGCAACTGGGGCTGTGAACTGGGGTCTTGTGCTCGCTGGGCAGGTGCCCCTCTTCTTGAGGCACACCCTACCCTTTGGATTTATTTTTCAGCTAGGATCTCCACCTTTGCCTAGGCTAACCTTGGACTCCAATTCTCTAACTCTGCCTCCTGAATAGCTAGCTAGATTGAAGGTGTGAGCTGAGGTGCACAGCCTATTTTGTACATGCGTACTGTTATTATAGAAGGGATATACAGAGGGATTACAATGGCATGCATGAGTCACAGAATGAGGACATTTCCTTTTCTACAGTGAGTGTCTGATGTTCTCTCATTTCCTCCCAACATCTCCCTCCCATCTTTACCCATGAGTTGTGCAGTTCACTTTCATCGGTGTCCTGTGAGCTCCATGGATTCACTTTTCTTTCTATCCTTTTTCTCTCCCTGTACCCTCCCAAAGATAACATGAGTACAGACTCTTTATCAGATAAAGAATACAGAAGTATCAAAAGCTAAAACCAAAAAATATATATGTATTTTGTTTCCACATCTTGGATTTTGTTTCAGTATGTGTAATATTTTATATAAATATGAAGAGACGCTTAGGCATTGGGCCTTTGTGATTCTCTCCTAAGACTACTCTCCTTTGGTCTCACTGTGTGTGAGTCTCTGGAATCCAGTGGCATTTGTCATATCCCAGTGCATTTTAGGTCTAACTTCCTTATATCAGAGAGAACGTGCACCATTAATTTCCAGTCTTGACTTACTTCACTTCTCAGGATTTGTTCTAGTTCCATCCATTTCCTTGCAAATGACATTATTTTATTCTTTCTAATGACTGTGTAAAGTACCATTGTTCACATTTTGTGGGTCCACTCATCTACTGTGGGGCATCTGGGCTGTTTCCATACCTTGGCTATTGTGAGTATTGTGGCAGTGAACATGGGTGTGCAGGTGTCCTTGTCATGATGCTCAGTGTAGATGCCCAAGAGTGGGTGGGAGGGAAAGTCTGTGTGTAGTATTTGGAGGAACCTGCAGACTGCTGTGCTGAGTGGCTCTACTAGTTCACATTGCCACCAGCTGCCCAGTAGGGCTCCTTTTCTCCACATCCCCACCAGCATTTGTTCGAATTCAAAATGCTGGCCAATCTAACTGGATTAAGATGGAATCTCAGGGTTGTTGTGATTGTAATTCCTTCATGCCCAGAGATGATGAGCATTTCCTCATGTGTTTCTTTGCCATTCTTCCCTCTTTTGAGGAGTCTCTCCTTAGCTCCCCTGCCCATTTAGTGACTCAGCCCACTATATTTTAGTATAAATGTAAAAGCAGGAGACTCTGCATCACTGACATGTTTGTGGATCAGGTCACAGAAAGCCCCACTTGGGATAATGTGAACTAAGATCTGTGGTTTTGGCGCAGGCTGCTGGAGATGAGGGCTGGCTCTGGGGAGAGCAGAAGCAGTTCAAACTCTTTCTGTCATGGAGCACCTGCTGTGTTTGCCCCGGCCCTGCTGGATAGTGGGAGCATGGCATGGATGAGCCTTGCCCTGGAGGCTGGGTTGTGCTCTGGTGGGATCTCATGTCAGTGGAGGGAGTTGAAGTGACAGGAATGAAAGGGGCAAATCTCAGTACTGGTGGGCCAAGTGCCATGACTCCGCCCTCCTGGCTCGAGCCTCAATTGGGTCCTGATACAGCTGTCCTGGGCGGAGCTGGGGCTCACCTTTCTTCTCCCACTGTGTTATTTTTCCTCATGATTCATGCAAGTTCTCTCAGAATGACTGCAGGTGTCATATCATGCCCAAGCCTCCATTACTTAATGTCAAGTGTGGCCTTATCACTGTGTCCCTGGGGCAAGGTTGGGGCTGGGCAGTGGCCCTGGGGAGATGGCAGGTCTTTAGGGTATTGCTGTGGGGTGGCACACCCCTCCCCCATTCTGGGCTGCCTTGGGCCAGGCATCACTGGAGCCCCATCCTCTGCAGTGCCCAGAGGTGCAGCTGAACATCATCTCCAACCTGGACTGCGTGAACGAGGTGATCGACACCCGGCAGCTGTCCTAGTCACTGCTGCCCGCCATCGTGGAGCTAGCCGAGGATGCCAAGTGGTGGGTGCGGCTTGCCATCATCGAGTACATGCCCCTGCTGGCTTGGCAGATGGTGCGTGATCCAGGGCATGCCGGGTACGGTGGGGAGGGGAGAGGATGCAGGCCAGACTCCCTCACTCTTGGAGCCCTCACCACCTCTCCTTATGTCAGGGAGTGGAATTCTTTGATGGGAAACTCAACTCGTGCATGGCATGGCTGGTGGACCATGGTGAGTCCTGCCACAAGGAGCTGGCAGCCAGTGGGTGGGGCCACACAGCTGTTCTGTCTGTGCCCTGCCCCCCACTGTTGGAAACCTGGGGAAGGCTGGTGCTGAGCCATGACCCACTCTAAAACTCCCCTATGGCCTTCCTGTCCCCCTTGCAGTCTATGCCATCTGTGAGGCAGCCACCAGAAACCTCAAGAAGCTGATGGAGAAGTTTGAGAAGGAGAGGGCACATGTCACCATGATCCCTAAGATGCTGGCTATGTCTGGACACCCTAACTACCTGCACTGCATGGCCACCCTCTTCTGCATAAACATGAGTGTGGCCTGCACCACACCTGCACCTAGGTGCCAGCTTGCCAGGGGAGGGGCAAGCACGGCCCCACCGTGAAACCACACTTGGGAGTGGAGAGGCTGGGGGCCAGGGCCAGGGGTACATTTCTGGAGCTGGGCGGGCTCCAGGCCTCCGGCACCCTTGGCCTGGGCGCGGGTGAGCTGGTATGAGACACATCGTTGGCTGTGTGTTCAGAGTTGAACTCGTTGTAAATCATAGTCGGGGAGGAGGTGTTGTCAGTTGTGCACACCGTTTCCATGCCAGTGAGGATTGGCATAGCCTAGCCACTCAGGCGCAGGTGCCAGGCGCTGCCTATACTGATCGTGTGCCTGCGCTTGGCCGGGTTCTGTCGGAGGTGTGCAGGCAGGACATCACCACCAAACACATGCTGCCCACCGTCGTGCACATGGTTGGGGACCCCATCACCAACATACGCTTCAATGTGGCCAAGTCCCTGCAGAAGATTAGGCCCATCCTCCACAACAGGTGAGCTGGGACTCACTGTTCTTATGCTCCTCTCCAGCTACACTGTTTCTTCCTTTGTGGTGATACAGAGGGTTACCTCACTAGGCAAGCATTCTGCCACTTGAGCCATGCTCCCAGCACTTTTTGCCTTTGTTATATTTCACAGAGTGCATGTGTGGCCCAGGCTGCCTGGTCTGTGCATGCTGCTCACACCACTAGGATAATGGGTGCCACCATGCCCACTATTGCTAGGGCTTCCTCAGTGGCTGGGATTCCAGATGTGCACCACTGTGTTCAGCTGCCACTGCTCCCTGCTGCTTCCTCCCAGTGTCGGCTTCACTGTAGACAGAGGAGTCAGCAATGGCCATGGTGAGCCTTCTGGGGAGGGGGATGTGAAGGGAAGGGAGGGGAAGGATGGCTCAGCATCGCTAGTCATCATGATGGAGATGCAAGTTGAAATTCCACAGGGGATGGCCAGGCCTGAACTGAGTTCCCAGTTGTGGGCCCCATCAGCTTCATGCTGCAGCCCTTTCCCCTCTGCTTCCAGCACCCTGAATAGCGAGGTCAAGTCAGTCCTGGAGAAGCTGACCCAGGACCAGGATGTTGCCGTCAAGTACTTTGCCCAGGAGGCCTTGACCGATGTGGGTTGGGGGTGGGCGGGCGGTGGCAGGTGGGAGGGGTGGTGGTGCCCAGACAGGGGCCTGGGAGGGCCAGAGGGTGGCAGTGCCAGGAAGGGGCTAGGGGGCCAGACATGCAGGTGGATGGGGAGAGGGTGGTGGGGCCTGGGCAGGGGCGCAAGAGGGCCAGGCTGGGCTTCTGAGCCGGCCCATTCCTGTTCCTCCAGTTCTGTCTCTTGCCTGATACTGGAAGAAGAGCCAGTGCTTGGGCCTCCAGTGCCCGGCCTCTGACCCACCCTTTGCTCAGCCCTCCCTGAGATCCTCTCTCATGGAGCCAGTGTGTCCCTGACAGCCCTCCCTGTGCTTGGCCTGATCCCAGACCTGGCCCCACGCACGTTTCCTGAGCTGCCTGGGGAGATGGCACCCGCCCCCCTCCAAAAGGCTGAGGGACACACGGTGGGATGGACAGCAGCCAGGAGGAAGGCCCCACTCCTGCCCTGTAGGGAGACACTCGAGCGTCCGGGTCACTGCCTCTTGCTGCTGAGATGGGGACCCCATCCCCACCTGCCTCCCACCTCTCTCCCCTTCCCTCCGCCCCCCCAGTGGTTTATTTGTGTCAACTATTGTTTGTATTTTATTTCTTTTTTCCCCCTTTTCACAAAGAAATCAAGGTATAGAAAGAGTCCGCCCTCAGGTCTTAGTGGGTGTTGGAGGGAGTGTCCTGGGGCCTTGGTCTCTGCCCTTTTCTGTGAGGACACTTAGTCCTAAACACTCACACTGAGTGTCCTGAACCCTAGGCATGCTGCCTGCTGTGGCAAAGCTGGCCAAGGACCCGGGCTGCCTGTGGAGGCCCTACTCTTCACATCCTCCTATTGTTCACATCCTCCTACTACTCAAGTCCTCTTACTCTTCACTGAGCCACACTCCTGCCCTGGGAAAATCATCCATTTTTTTGATGAGCACATAGCACTGTCTCAAAGCCTGGGTTTTGCACTGGGTACCTCAAGCATGCCCAAGACCCTGTGGTTGAGGACATCACTGTGAGCTTTATATCTTTTTTTTTTTGGTTACTCATGTGGATTGAACTCTGGTCCTGGCTGCTGTGCCTCAGCTCTTCAGCTGAGGTGGAGCACTCTACCACCTGAGCCACAGCCTCACTTCTGGTTTTCTCGTGGTTGATTGGAGATAAGAGTGTCATGGACTTTCCTTCCCTGGCTGGCTTTGAACCATGATCATCATATATCAGCCTTCTGAGTAGCTAGGATGACAATAGTGAGCCATTGGCATGAGGCTAGATTTTTGTCTTTTAAAGTCTTTATTCTACCAGAGAAAAACATATTTACATTTCTTGTCTGGCCTGTTTTCCTTCCCAAGATGTATGATGAATTCCAGTTCCATCCATTTTCCTGCAGTTGCCATGCTTTGTTCTTCATGGAAAGTTGTTTTTTAGGAGAACAGACAAATATACAAGAGAGAAAGGAGTAGAGGGCAATAGATAGTATATTAAAAATTTGGAGCTATTTGGTGGTGGGGAATTGATATACAACATAAAGCTGACAGTATTTTCTGGATCTGTATATACCTGCCTGAACTGTAAAGCAGTGACCCTGCTCTACCTTGTGCCGGTCAGCTAGGAGGGAGAGCTGGCCTGGCCCAGTTATAAACCAACACTGCATAGATATGGCACTTCACCAGCCAAGACTGAAAACTGAAAGTTCTGGGTGGAAAACTGTCCCAAGCAAATGGGAACTGACCTGAAATGGAGCCCCAGTTGCTTGTCCCACAAGAGCAGGAGAGACATCAAACCCAAGCTAGGTTGATGAGATAAAGACTGTCACCCTCTGCTGACAGTGAGCCGGCACATAGATGCCTACTGCTGCCCCAGTTTCATGAACTAATACTACGGGATGCCATGGACCCGTAAGTCCAGACGAAGTTGGAATGTTGGCTTACGACCCCCCCCTCATCAAGTGATAGGCTGTCGAGCCCAAAGTCAGCCATAAGACTTAAGGATCAAATGAAGGAACAAGTTTACAAAATCAAAAATCAAAGCCATACCACAACTTTCCAGAATCTCTGGGATGCAGCAAAAGCTTCTCTGAGGGAATTTACAGCTGTTTGGGCCTGGCATGAAAAAAGTCAGGTGTTTCAAATATCATCAACAACGAAGCACAGTCTAAAAGCAAACCCAGAACAGTGGATAGAGAGATAATCATAAAAATCAGGATAGAGCCAGCCTGACACTGATGGCTGCTCACCACTAATCAAAGCTACTCCAGAAGCTCAGATCTGAGGATTATGGTTCAAAGTCAGCAGAAAAGTCCACCAAGCTCATTTTCTATTTATTTTTTTTATTTTTTTATTTTTTGGGTCATGTCGTGGAGCCTGAAGTCTAGGCCTGGGCGCTGTCCCTCAGCTCTTCAGCTCAAAGCTAGTGCTCTACCACTTGAGCCACAGCGCCACTTCTGGCTTTTTTCTTTTTGCTTATGTGGTGCTGTGGAATCAAACCCAGGGCCTCACGCATGCAAGGCAAGAGCTCTACCACTGAGCCACCTTCTCAGCCCCACAAGGCTCATTTTCAATAAACTATCCCCAGAATGTACAAAGCAGAGCTGTGGCTCAAGTGGTAGCGCACTAGCCTGGAGCTAAAGAAGCTTAGCAACAGTGCCAGGCCCTGAGTTCAAGCCCTAGGACAGGCACACACATAAACACACACACACACACACACACACACACACACACACACACACAAATAAGGGTAAAAATAAAAAAAGGAGATTAAATGAACAATGTAAAAAAATCAGTGAAAGAAGCGGAGGCCTGGGGGCTCACGCCTGTAATCATAGTTACTCTGCAGCTGAGATATGAGGATCATGGTTCAAAGCCAGCTGAGGCAGGAAAGTTCATGAGACTCATCTCACCAGAAAAGTGGAAGTGGCAACTATGGCTCAAGTGATAGAGTGCCTGCCTTGAGCTGAAGAGCTGAGGGACAGTGCCCAGGCCCAGAGTTCAAGCTTCAGGACAGACAAAAAAAATCAGTGAAGGTAAGAAGTTTTCTTGATAGCTAAGACTGACAAGCCTTCATCCAAGAACAGTGAAGGCATCAACTAAGAAAACTAGAATATCATAACAGTTTAAATTCAAATTGTCATTGGGGAATAAGTCCAACACATTAGAAAACATACAAGGAATGGATTCAGTCTTTGCGCGTTGGACCCATCCTGTTTGATCCAAGGTGACTTTAATCACGTAACTTCATTTGTAATCAAGCAGTATAATGATTCAGTGATGGGATACACCAGGTGTTCAGAGTTACCACCAATGTCCCTCAGACAGGTTCAAAAACTAGGAAAGGAAGAATGCTACCAAACTCCCTCTCATACCAAAATGAGAACAGACTAAAGACAAGATTAGACACCTATTTCCTTGAAGAGCACAGATGTAAAATATTTCATAACATACCTGCAAGTAATTTCAACAATGCATTGAAAGATCATGCACCACGCCCACATTGCATTCCACCCATAATTGCAAGTGTGGCTCAACCAGTCCTGAACAATTTGAAGAGTAAGACATTGGACACCTGTGGCTTGCACCTGTCATCCTAGCAATTGAGGCTGAGATCTGAGGATCACAGTTCAAAGCCAGCCTAGGCAGAAAAGTCCAGGATACTCTTCAATTCCCTACCAGAACACTGGAAGTGGCACTAAGCTCCAAGTGGTAGAGCGCTAGCCATGAAGAAAAGAGCTTAGGGACAGCACCCAGGCCCTGAGTTCAAGCCCCAATACTGATTCCCTCCCCCCCAAAAGTCATTATACCAAGGATCCATCTGCTTTAAAGGTATTTCCCCTAACCCATTATCAGCTGTAAGAAGTGAGTAGTTAGGTATTTTAATGAAGTAGAAGCAATGGGAAGGTAGATACAGTCCGGCTGGGACCTGACAAGGCAAGGTGTGTGCAGTGTGCAATAATGGCCACCATCATGCCAGGACTTGGGTGTGACCCAGGAACAGAAGTCAGATGGCACCTGTCCTAGGCATCAGTCAATGGTTACTCCCAGATCTGACCTGGTATGAGTTCTTCCCACGAAAACCTCCCCAGAACCTTCTTGGCTCTTCTGGGTTCTGCTGTTTTGATTGCAATGGAAGATGATTCGCCAGGCTGGTGGTTTTGTGAGGATGGCCACCACATTGTGGCCTCCTCTACCAGCAGGATGTGCACAAGGTGTGGGCCCAGAGCCCCCAAGCTAAGGATGCAGGGGGGGGAGCTGACCTCCCAGCCTGTTCACAGGCTGAGTTGCACCTTTGTGTCACAACCCATTTTTCCTGAAACGCTTTGTCTGGAGCTTCAAGTCATCCCCATGAGTGAGAGGTGAGTGTGTCTCATCCCTCCTTCATATTGAGCATAGTCACCAGGTGCTGCTGTGAATGAAGCCAAGTCAGGAGCTGGCTGTGAGCTCTGGCCAGCAGGTGTGCAGCAGGGGAGCAGGAGTCAGGGGTCTGGCCACAGCGTGGCAAGGACACAGGAGACAGGAAAGGGATTCATACAAGATGGTGGTGCAGAACTGAGGGTGCTCAGGAAGAAAGAAGACACAGATGGAGAAAGACGTCCTGAAAGTGCGAACTCTCTAGAAGTAATGAGTCCAGGCAGGGCTGCATGTCAGCATGATGACAAGTGGCTGTGCTTCCAGCGGACTGCAGGGGTGCGTGGGGTGCAGAGCCTAACCTTGAGCTAAAGAGCTGAGGGACAGCGCCTAGGCCCAGAGTTCAAGCCATATGGCTGGCCAAAAAAAAAAGAGGAAAAGCACGTGGAGCATTACTGTAGGGGAGGGGAAGCTCAAGGCATGGGCTGTCTTGGATTTGGGTCATGCTCTTGACAGAGTATGAGATGTCTGGAGGGTGGGGTGGTCCTGGAGACCAGGTTCTGAGAGGGGGTGGAGTGGGGGCAGGGAAAGCCTGCGTCCCCTCAGAAGGCAGGGAGCTGGTGGAGGACACGCGCTGCCCCTAGATCAGGAAGCTAAGTCCA